TTAGGGTTTAGGGTTTAGGGTTTAGGGTTTAGGGTTTAGGGTTTAGGGTTTAGGGTTTAGGGTTTAGGGTTTAGGGTTGGAGAACCCACATACATATACACCACACCTCAAGCAGGCTGCGACCGGTGCAAGTAGCTACGTCTCGTCATGAGAGGGTGCTAAAGTTGCTCTGACCCCTACACCCTAAACCCTAAACCCTAAACCCTAAACCCTAAACCCTAAACCCTAAACCCTAAACCCTAAACCCTAAACCCTAAACCCAAAACCCTAAACCCTAAACCCTAACCCCTAAACCTAAACCCTAAACCCTAAACCCTAAACCCTAAACCCTAAACCCTAAACCCTAAACCCCTAAACCCCTAAACCCCTAAACCCCTAAACCCCTAAACCCCGAAACCCCGAAACCCCGAAACCCCTAAACCCCTAAACCCCTAAAACCCAAACCCTAAACCCCAAACCCTAAACCCTTCCCAAGCAACGCAGAGTGTGCGTGAAGGTTACATGTACCTCCAGGACACTTGGTACTTGGACACGCAGGCCTGGGATCTGAAGGTTTAGGGTTTAGGGTTTAGGGTTTAGGGTTTAGGGTTTAGGGTTTAGGGTTTAGGGTTTAGGGTTTAGGGTTTAGGGTTTAGGGTTGTGACCATGGTGCTCTTTCCGTTTGGTGGTGAGATTGTCCCCAAGTCCAAAGCACCGAAAAGCCGAAAACCCTAGGCCGCCACACCCAACAGCTCAAAAGCGCCCATGGCCCGAGAGCTTACGTTCAAACCCTAAACCCTACACCCTAAACCCTAAACCCTAAACCCTAAACCCCAAACCCCAAACCCCAAACCCCAAACCCTTAGCCTTGGAGTTTAAGGCCGGGCTCGGGAAGTTGTTGCGGCGGAGTTGTTGCCTTCTCAGATTTCCCGAATCCCTTCCCAGCTGAAAATGCTCCATCCGAGATGATAGCAACGAAACACTTAAACCTTAAGCCCTAAGTTTCAGCTGCAAGCGCCTCACCCATGAGGGAGATCCGCCCCCCCCAAACGGCCTGGAAGAGGGGTTTAAGGTTTAGGGTTTACGATTTAGGGTACCCTGCACCTAGGTTGGCTTCTTTTTACTGTAGTGTCCTGAGGTTTAGGGTTTAGGGTTTAGGGTTTAGGGTTTAGGCTTTAGGGTTTAGGGTTTAGGTTTGAGGGTTGAGGGTTCAGGGTTAGTGTTGAAGCCTACTCCTGTACATGTCATCCTGTAGCAGTTGTACCATGCATTTTTCCTTTGTTGCTTATAGGCCCGAACAGTAGCCTTGAGCATGTTTAAGACAAGCATGTACAGTTTCACATTAGACATAGTAGGTGCCAAACCCTACATAGCAGCTCTTGTTTCCTCGTTTGTGCGTGTAAAATCTTCGCGTTTGTGAGTGCTTTGCCATGGCTTTGAGGGACGATTCTGGGGAATTGCGCAGTCCACTGGTTTCTTCCTCACAGCCTGCTGGTACTCACCAGCAGGTTATGAGCCCAACGCTTGGGCAGGGCTATGGCACCAATCCACCGCATCCATCTCCACCTCCCGGAGGGGATGGTTTGCAGCATCCAGGTTCAATGCCACCACGTGAATCAGGCCAGTCAGGTGCAGTGGGCCTTGAACCTAATATGGCTATGGGAGGGGCATTAGGAGGCACAGGCCAGCATGAATCGTCGCGAGGTTCAGGGGAAGTGCCACCAATGTCGACCACCAGCGAGGGTGGTGAGAGCGCACACCAAATTGTGCATGTGCCCGGCACAACACCGGGCGGGAGCCCAGGTCTGCAGGCCAGCACTGGCATGCCAGGTACCGCGAGCGGTGAAGCAGTGCCAGGGGGAGCAGTCGCTGGGGACTCCCATGTTGAGGGGTTCCTTACCCCACGCTCCCAGCAAGGACAGGGTTTGCCCACTATTGCAGAAATGGTTGAGGGTTTCCCTGGGGCTGGGCTCCAGCTCATGTCAAGGGTTGGGGATTTTTTCAGAGTTGCCCGCACTGAGGTCATGCAGGTCCCGGTGTGGCAGGACTCACACGCAACGCCACCACGAAGTGCTACCCGTTCCATGGGTAGTCCGGGGGGTGCACCAGGGCAGTTGGCTTTGGGAGATGGGAGTTTGGGTTCTGCTAGTGGGTCGCCGCCGCAAGTGGGGCCACAAGGAACGCCAACATCCTTTGCACCACCGCACCCCGGAAGGGAGGGCCCGCTCCTGAACGCAGACATGCTGCAGCGCATGCAAGTTTTGGAACGTAGGGCTCCCCTATTGTACGGTAACATGCCTGATAGGCCCCAATCCCGTTCAGACTCAACCTCCTTGCCCCAGGACGCAATTCAAGCGGAGGTTGCTAGGCAGTTGGCGGGGTTTGATCAAAGGGCTCAGGCTCAGGAGTTGAGAAATCAGGCCCAGGACCTTGAGATCCAGCGTTTGAGGAGGCAGCTTGAGGAGGAGAAGGCTATGAGGGAGCAGTTGGCAAGGGAGGCGGCAGCTTCAAGCAGTGCCCCGCAGGCCCCCACACCATCACAAATGCAGGTCCCCATACCCCTCCAGGTGCCATCACCGCAAGATGCTCAGGTCCACACTGCATCTGCGCAACAGGTGCAGGATGTTGCAGCGCCGGCGGTTGGTGCTTTGAGAGCGCCCGCTCAAGCTGCAGCAGCAGCCGCGTCAGGGTTTTTGTCCAACTTCTGGTCAGGGTTGCAGGGTTCCCATAGGTTGCCCAGCAGTGCAACCCCACCCGGAAGGGTTGGGCAGTCCTATGACACAGCACAGAACTTGGCCTCTTCTGCCCCAGACCCCCCTTCTCAGGCCGAAAACCTGGGTCTGGGCCAGATCTGGCCTCAAGGCTCAGGAATGCCACAGGTGCCACAGGTGCAAGGTACACAGGTGCCCGCATCTCCACCCGGACGGGTTGGACCCGCTGCCTATGCACAGGTGCCACAGGTTTCAGGCGCAGGTACACAGGTGCCGCTTGCACAGGTATCAGGTGCCCAGGCCAGTGCAGCTCCAGGAGGAGCACCTGCAGCAAGTGCAACGCCGTGTGCAGCAGCTACCTCAGGCAATCCCATGATGGATGCCTTGTTTGCAGGAATGCAGCAGCTTCAAACCATGCAGGCGCAGGGCATGCGGGATAAGGGTGTTGTTAGCAACGCCCCTGAAGCCGTCAAGCCAGGCACTTCTGCACTCCCCATGCTGAAAGCTCCTGATCCGATGAGTGGTTCGTTGGATTTTCAGGATTGGTTGGAGTTAGTTGCAGGGTTGATGGGTGATTTGTCCGATTCCTCGCATGATTGGTGGACCGCAGTGCTGCAGGTGAGCCGTGACGCATATGAAAGGTGGGTTAAGGCTACTCCGCTCGATCGCATCAGGGTAGAGGTTGACGAGCGCCCGGAGCTGGTTGAGGGAAAGTGGTCCAGGGTCAATGCGCGTGCGTGCACCATGATTTTAGCAGCCTTAGACCAAGGGGTAAAAGCGGAAATGGTAGCTCGCAGGACCACTCAAGTAGCCACTCAAATCATGTTTCGGCTTTACACGCTGTATCAGCCTGGAGGTTCCACGGAAAAGGCGTTGGTGTTGAATCACCTGCAAAATCCCAATGTTGTTCAGGATGTGGTGTCAGGTGTGTCCGCGCTGAGGGCATGGGGTAGGTGGCACAAGCGCTGCATTGACTGCGGTATGGTAGCCCCAGATCCTACAGTTCTTGCCGGTGCCCTCACCAAAATGACCAACCATATCCTAAGCCAAAATCCGGACCCTATGTTCCGAACTCAGATGGTTCGCAGCATGTTGCACATCGAGACTCACCCTTCGGAAGATGCGGTTCAGGAGTATCACAAGCACTTGTTAGCCGAGTTTGAAACCATGGCTGGAGCACAGATTGCCAAAAAGGGTGGGTCAGGCAACAGTGCCGCTCTGAAGGCCATTGACGCTACGGGGGGCAAGTCGGGGGGAAAAGGGGGTGAAGCTAAGGGTGGGGGGAAGGGTAAGCCGTGCAAGTACTTTCTTACGCCTAAGGGGTGCAAGTTCGGTGCGAAATGCAAGGCCCCTCACTCCATGAGCGACCTGCCAGCGGCTGAAAGGTTTAAGAAGTGCCTAAATTGTGGCTCTGAGGAGCATCGCGTCAAAGATTGCAAGGCTGGAAAGGCCGAACCAAAGGCACTGGAGCAGAAGCCGTCAGTCCAGGCAGCCTCCACCACCACATCATCCTCCGCGCCACCCGTTGTCCAGGCCACGCCTGTTCTATCCATGGAGTCCTTCCTTCAGCATGCATCCCACGCCTTGAGGCAGCTTGAAGCTGCGCATGCCACTCATGGGCAACAGCCGTCGCAGGGTCCAGCATCTACTGCGCCGGCTCCAGCGGCCCCCACTCCTGACGGAGGTGGCGTGCAGCAGCCTTCAAATCCATCCCTCAAGAGGCTCACAATTCGCTCACTCATGCCCGCGAGCTGTTTCCCGGTTTCGGAGCCCCAAACCGGGAGTTTTCCTGAGCCCTCCGAGCCACCATTCATTGGACACGCCCTTCTGGACTCGGGGGCCACTCACCCGATGCGGCAAGCCTCATCTGAGGAGGAATGGGAGGTCGCTGAGGAGGTACAGGTCAGCTTAGCCGGCGATCAAAGCACGTTCATGCGTTTGACCCGCGCAGGCACACTCCTCCTGCCTCCCGGGAGGGATGGCCCAGTGCAGCCAATAGTTCCTATGGGTGCCATCATAGAGCAGTTGGGGTATTCATTGAGTTGGTCCGCTGGTTGTTGCAAGCTCTATGCTCCAGATGGTAAGGTGGTTCGGCTCAGGGTTCGTAATGGGTGTCCCGAGGTGATGGAGAGCCAGGCCTTAACCATGATTTCCAAGTTGGAGGAGCACAAGCTGCAACAGGTTGATGAGCTGAGGAAAAGGACGCAGGAAGGAAAGGACAGGATTCGTGAGGCTCGAATCGCGTTGGACAAGACTTGGTGGGACCATCTGGTTGAGTACGCCCGAGATGGTCACCTCACAGCAGGGGAAATGGCTATTGCACAGGCTCCGTTCTTCAGTGAGGTTCCGGAGCAAGCGTTGCGTGGCATTCTCCCGTCGGAAGATGTGGACTCATTTTGGCGAGCGCTGTCCGAGGCCTTTCCCAACCTCAACAGGAGGAGGAGGAAGGCGCTACATCGTTCCACCAAATGGGTTGTTCACTTGTTTGCAGGCCCTCAACCCCATAAAGAGCTTCTCAAGCTGCAGTCGGATGGAACGGTGGTGGTGGAGTTGGACATCGCACGTTCCAGCATCCACAATCTGTACTCAGAGCCACTTTGGAGGTTGTTGGCGACAGCGGCGAGGGATGGGCGCATTGCAGCTGTGATTGGCGGCCCTCCTTGTCGTACCATGTCAGTTCTTCGGCACAAGCCTGGAGGTCCAAGGCCAGTGCGGTCCCCTGCTGAGCCGTATGGTCTGAGCGATCTTAGTGCTGCCGAGCGTGAGCTCGTAGACAATGACACGGGCCTGTTTGCACGGATGTTGTTCTTGCACGCAGCTGCGACAGCCGGGAGGCGTGTCCATCGTCAATCGGCGGAACAATCGTCGCAGGTGGCATTCTTGCTTGAGCAGCCTCAGCCAGTTGACCGCTATCTGCCTTCGGGTCACACCTTGGTTGGTGAAGTTCCCTCGTTTTGGCACACGACTCTATGGCAGGCCTACGCCTCAGAGGCCGGCCTGTTCGAGGTCGACTTTGACCAAGGTGCGTTGGGCCATGTGACCACGAAGCCAACCACCATAGGCACGAACCTTCCTGACCTGAGGGGCTTGCACGGCCTCCGGGAGGAGAGTCCTAAGCCAGCGTGGACAGGCGACTCAAAGGACTTAGCCGCGTGGGCGCCGCACTTTGTTAGAGCCATAGTGCAAGCGCTACAGTGTTGGCCCCGCTACCAGCTATGCCGCATGAGTCCCGAGGACTGGCAACTACATGTAGAAAATAACCACGTTCCGTACCGTAGGGATTGTGGGGTTTGCGTACGAGGCGCCGGCACCGGTCGTAGGCATCAAGGAGTCGCACACCCTGATGTATATTGCCTGTCTGCCGACGTGGCTGGACCTATCAGGGTCCCCGCAAAAGACCCCGAAGGTAGGAGCAAGCATCCGCCTGTGTTCCGGTACTTCTTAGCAGCGTCGTATCGTTTTCCTAAACTCCAGGGGACAAAGGACGAACCCAACCCAACGCAGGTTGATGGGTTCGACGACCCTTCACTCCACCCTGGCGGGGAGGACGAGTTAGCTGATGTTGTTGTGGAAGGCCCGCCGGAGCCAGAGCACCACCCTGACGGGGAGGACGTACTGCCTGAGGATTGTTTAGGATATTGTCCTACAAGTGACGAGTCCGATGCTCCACGCGTTGCAGCTGCGAAGGCCAAGGCCAAGGATAAAGCCCACAAACCCAAGGAAGAGCACCCTTGGGAGCACGCTAAGTGTGACTTTGAAGCTCCGCCCGGTTTAGCTAGGTTGGTGTTTGTTGTTCCGTTACACACGAACAAGAGTGAAGCGGTGCTAGAAGCACTGCAACAAGTGTTCCTGGAACTGCGCTCGTTGAACCTTCCTGTGTTGCGTTTCCACTCGGATAGAAGTCGGGAGTTCTTTAACAAAAGGACCCGTGCTTGGTTCCATGAGCATGGCGTGCGCACCACAACTGGGGAAGGAGACACGCCGCAGCAGAACGGAGCAGCCGAAAACACTATCCGTTGGCTAAAGGCTAGAGCACGCACGCTTCTGGCACAGGCCGAGGTTGGAACGGAGCACTGGGCTTGTGCAATGGCCACGGCAGCATCGCAGCAACGAGCGCAACAGCTAGGCTTCAAGTCTAAGCTTGCCGCGCCGTTTGGGGCGCCGTGTTCCGTGAAGCTCAAGTTTTACGGACCTTCTAGGGGTGACTTAGGGGATAGGTGGGTAGAGGGCAAGTACATGGGTTTGTCGCCTTCTGTCAATGATGGCCACGTCGTCCTACGCAATGATGGAGTGGGGAACGGCTTTCTCCAAACACTCCACGTGCGCTCACGCCTCCACTCGCCAGAAATGCCCGACCGTGTGTATGAGGGCGATGTGAGGGAGCCCGCGCCGCTTGAGCCAGCAAGGCGTGTGCGTGGGAAGTCTGCGCCAGCAGCTGGCGAGCCACCCTTGCCGCCGCCGCCCGTTCCGCCGCCGGAAGGTGAGCGTGCGCCGGAACCTGCCTTACCTCCACGTCGCGTCCGACTCCGTGAGAAGTCAAGCCTCGCAGTTCGTGAGTCCCGGTTGTCACCACTACCTGACGGTGAGTGTCCGCCTGAGCAAGCCTTGCCTGAAGGTTTAGGTGTAGTGGGTGAAGCCGTTGAGGAGGAGTTTAGGGCTAGTCGGTTTAGTGTTGTGGACCTTGAGGGTTTTGCCGAGGAGTTGCTGCTTGAAGACTGGGACCTCGAAGAGGCCATGTGGGTCTTGGTCCAGTTCAGCCGTCTGCAGTCCCTTAAGGCCGGCCTTTACCGACATGGTGGTGTAGTAGGCACCACAAGCGTTACAAACTCCCACCCTTGGCTCACAGAGCTCATGGCCGCGACGCTTCTGTCTGCAAGCCCAGAGGCCGAGTTCACAAGTCTTTGGCTCTCTAACACTAACCCCATGTCCCTGCATGCAGACCATAACAACGTAGAAGGGTCTGTTAACGTAGTCCTTCCGCTCAAGCTCCCTCCTGAAGGAGGAGACTTGTGGGTAGAACTGCGAGCAGGAGATGTGCTCCACGGACCTGTTGAGCAAAGAGTTGACGGTGCAGGAAAGAAGTGGTTGGGCACAACGCACAGCCTGCAGAGAGGCAAGCCCTTCTACCTTGACCCCAAACGCCGTCATGCAACCACTCCTTTTGAAGGTGAAAGGGTTGTGCTCGTAGCATACACTGTAAACACCTTAGGGAAAGTCCCAGAGTCTGAGCTTCAAGCCCTGGAGTCCTTAGGCTTTCCGCTCCCTGCCTCAGCGCGCTTACCACTCACGACGCAGCAAGATGTAAGGCGCCTAGACGTGTTTGACATGTTCGAGGAGGGCCCCTTAGAGCTCGCAAGTGAAGACAGCTCAAGGGAAGCACAGAAAGTAGACAAGGGCGGGGGTTGGAAGGAGACTCAAAAGGTTGAGGCTGGAACTGTAGAGCTAGAGGTGTCATGGAACCTCAAGCACACCCCAGACTCTCACACAGCGCAGCGCGAGCAAGCGTTCTGCGCTTTGCAGACCCTGGAGCCACAACCCCCCACACAGGTCGAGGAGGAGCCTTGGCCAGAGCAGCCCGTGCAGTGGGAACTCTCCTTTCCAAACCCACAGACGGGTGAGTGGCTGTGTGCACTCCGGTCTGACGACCTGGACCCGCGTCTTTGCAAGTCCGAGCCAGTGTACACCCCGGACATTGAGCAGTTGCTAAGCGGTCTAACTGAGCCACTGCAGATAGTTCACACTGTTGACCCGCGAGAGGCGGAAAAGCACAGTGAGGTGTGGCTCCCGTCAGTCCACAAAGAGATCGGGGTCATAGAAAAGGCTGTGCGCCGTTTGCCGCCTGGTGAGGTGCGAAAAGGGAACTGGCTTCACCGCACTGACGTGAGGGTCGTACCGGCAAAGATGGTTTTCACAGTCAAACCGCCTGATGTGCAAGCTATCGCGCCCGGGAACGGGGAGCATGCAGCTCAGCCAAGCTTGTTTAAACGCAAGGCGAGGCTTGTTGCGTGTGGAAACCATGCCCCTTCCACTGGCACCGAGATATACGCGTCAGGCGCTGCAGCAGAGTCACTTCGTTGTTTGGTGGTCATTAGCTCTAAGAGGCGTTGGATGCTGGGGATTTTAGATGTCACCTCAGCATTCCTCCTGACGCCCATCCCTCAGGGCGAAGGGTTTCCTGTGTTTGCTCTAACACCGCCACGCTACCTTGTGCGACAAGGTCTTGCGCAGGAGGGAGAGCTCTGGATCCTCACGCACGCCGTCTATGGCCTCAGGGAGTCACCAAAGCTGTGGTCAGACTTTAGGGATTCCCAGCTTTTGGCCCTTAGATGCGTGGTCAACGGAGTTGAGTTGCAGCTACTCAAGGGCAAGTTAGACACGAACTGGTGGCGCATCGTGCAAGCCAGTGATGGACAAGTCGTGGGAGGTTTAATCACCTACGTTGATGACTTCCTACTTGCTGGCTGTGTTGAAGTCATCGAGGCCCTCGCCAAGGCCATCCAGTCGATCTGGAAAACAACCCCCCTCACACTTGCGTCGCCTAGTCAGCCACTGAGGTTTTTAGGGGTGGAGATCCTAGTGCAGGGTTTAGGGTTTGTTCTGTCGCAGCAGGCCTACGCAGAGGAGCTGCTACGCCTCAACAACGTCAAGCCCACTGCGCTGGGTAAGATCCCTTGCCCAAGGGACTTAGTGTCCTTCGACACTCTCCTGACGGATGAGTCCCCCGCCGAGGAGTCAGTTCGCACAGCCCAGAGGCTGACGGGAGAAATCTTGTGGCTGAGCCAGCGCACGAGACCGGATCTCGCGTTCACCGCTTGTGTTCTTGCTACGTTGAGCACAAAGGCGCCTGAAAGGGCTGCACGCATCGCTGAAAGAGCACTCGCCTATGTGCAGCAAACCAAAGCCTTTGCTCTCACTGCTGACGCAGATGACACAGGCCTAGTAGCATACAGTGATGCCTCTTTTGCGCCAGACGGTAACCGCTCGCACACCGGCTGGGTAGTCTTCTTGCACGGATCGCCTGTCTGCTGGCGTTCGGCCAGGCAGGCGTTTGTCACACTCAGCACTGCAGAGTCCGAGCTTGTCGCAGGACTTGATGCTGTCGTTGCGCTGCAATCTGCAGAGGCCATGCTGGGTGAGTTTGGGGTCGTTAACTTAGGTAAGACCTTGAGGGTTGACTCACAGTCTGCGCTTGCCATCGCCATTGGTCAAGGTTCTTGGCGAACCCGCCACCTGAGGGTGCGCGCCAATTATCTCAGGGAGCAGTATGAGACTGGCGAGATCATTCCCGTTTACTGCCCAGGTGTAGAGCAAGCCGCTGACCTTCTCACCAAGGCACTCCCATCTGCAAGGATCAGTGAGCTCTTAGCGATATGGGGCTTGCTTGAGTACAGCGCACAGTCCACTCCACAGGTGAGGTCTCTTTTTGCAGAGCCCCGTGCAGCGGAAGCTGGCACTGTAACTCAGACCGATCAGCATTTGAGAGCGCTAGCGGTTTTGCTAGCATTTGCACAGGTTATAGGCGCTGCCAGTCAGGAGGACGAAGAGCCCGAAGATCTGTCGCTCCCAGTTCCCTTAGACGCCGACCTGATGCTTGCAGCTTGCATTTTCGGTGTTGCGTTTTGTGCCATTGTTTTGTGGGAGTTTCTGAAGTGGTTTTTTGCCCTCTTGTCCCGCAGGGCCTTTGGCACAAACAGTGTATTGCTAAGTCTGCGCAAGGCACGCAAGTTGCAGCGTCTTAGGGAACGCACGGAGCAAGCAATCCGGGCAGAAATCTCTGAGAGGGAAGCAGCGGCCAGTTCCTCACAGCGTCTTGTGACCGCTTCCGGGAGGAATGCGCCAGCTTCCACCACGCAGGCCGATGAAGCACCAACTCGTTTCTTTGCAACGCCAGAGGGCAACAAGCTTCATCGCACTAAGGCCTGTTCCACACTTGCCCATTCACCCAGGTTCATCGAGTTTGAGGTCTGCCAGCAGTGCCACAGGAGCCAGGCAGACTGCACGAAGCATAGCACGCGCTAGGGCATCCACCGCCCTGACGGGTAGGTTGTGCGCCCCATTGCACAGTCCTGCCAGCAGTGCTTTCCTTTTGCAAAGAGGTGCCGTGAGAGCCCTCGCACTCTGAGGCCAGCCGGCCAGCTACAGCCTTTCCTTCGGTAGGAGCTCGTACCTCCTCCCGGAAGGGATGGACATGTACAGGTTTTGTTTGTCGCAATACCCTAGCGGTGTTGCGAAGGAGGAGTGTTGAAGCCTACTCCTGTACATGTCATCCTGTAGCAGTTGTACCATGCATTTTTCCTTTGTTGCTTATAGGCCCGAACAGTAGCCTTGAGCATGTTTAAGACAAGCATGTACAGTTTCACATTAGACATAGTAGGTGCCAAACCCTACATAGCAGCTCTTGTTTCCTCGTTTGTGCGTGTAAAATCTTCGCGTTTGTGAGTGCTTTGCCATGGCTTTGAGGGACGATTCTGGGGAATTGCGCAGTCCACTGGTTTCTTCCTCACAGCCTGCTGGTACTCACCAGCAGTTAGGGTTTAGGGCCGAGGCTCAAATTGTCCATGGATGTTATAGGCAGGGAAAGGTTTAGCTTCAACCTCTGCCAATTCCAGTTGCGTCAACACGGTACATGTCTCTATATATCTGTCTATCCATGTATCTATCTATCTATCCATACACGCACATATGTACTTACATACAACAGTATGCATACACAAAAACATAGAAATTCATGTGTACATGTACAAGTGTATAGATGCACATACACTCATGCACACACACACACACACATATATATATATATATATATATGTGATATGATATTCTACTGTTGACTGTCCACGAACCACCAAGTAGCCCCCTAAACAAGTCCCGAGCCATAGCTTGGACCGCAGCCCCATAAAGCCCGGAATCCCATCCCAAACTCAAACCCCGAAGCCACTGAATCCTAAACAACCAAGTGGGGTTGAGGGTTTTCGGGCTTAGGGTTTAGGACCCCCCCTGAACGTCACTGAACGCTAAACGCTCTGTCTTGGTCGGTTCGACCTAACCAAGTGGGGTTAAAGGGATTTAGGGCGAAACCCTAAACCCTAAACCCTAAACCCTAATTAGGACCCAAAACCTTGACTCGTGCTTCTTCATAGCATGATGGGGGCGCAGCCAGGCCGATGCGCCGTCCTGGACGGAGGTTTTTCCAGGCACCCTTCAGTGCAAACGGGGCTTCTTCGGGGTTTAGGGTTTAGGGTTTGGGGTTTGGGGTTTGGGGTTTAGGGTTTAGGGTTTAGGGTTTAGGGTTTAGGGTTGTTCAGGTTTCGGGCTTCAGGGGGCTTGGGTTTTTTTTTGGAGATTAGGGCCTTGGGGGGGGGGGGGGGGGGGGGGGCTACTTTTTCGGGCGGTGGCAAGGCGTGGGCTTCAGGGTTTTGGGTATAAGGGCTCCGGGTTTGGAGCTCAAGAGCATGGGGGCAGTTGCTTGAAGGGTCAAGAAGGATAGCCTGTAAGAGAACTGCAGCCACAAGCCCAAATAAGGCGGGCAAAGGTTTAGGGTATGGAACCTTTAAGTAAAGTAGGGCTTGGGGCCTTGAGGGCTTTAACATGTTTAAGGCCAAATGTTTTAAAGCCTAAGCCCTAAACCCTTTTAGGTCAGGATTTAGGGTTTACGGTTTCGGGTTTCGGGTTTTGGTTCAAGGCTTAGGAACCTTAAAATCTCAACCCTAAACCCTGATTTCCCAATTCCTAAACCCCTTCAGGGTTTAGGTGCTCTGGGCCTTCGCCTAAACCCTGAACCCTAAACTCTAAACCCTAAACCCTGAACCCTAAACCCTAAACCCTAAACCCTAAAGGGCTTAGGACCCAAAACCTATTTGCACCTGTTGGTTTCTGGTCTCCGTTCTGTTGCAAACTGGCCTCCGAGGGTCCCCAGCCCAGTTAGTGGCAGGGTGTTCATCAGCAGTATGCGCACATACTGGGTTTAGGGTTGGGCCTAGGTTTAGGGTTTAGGGTTTAGGGTTTAGGGTTTAGGGTTTAGGGTTTAGGGTTTAGGGTTTAGGGTTTAGGGTTTAGGGTTTAGGGTTTAGGGTTGAGGGTTTAGGGTTTAGGGTTTAGGGTTTAGGGTTTAGGGTTTAGGGTTTAGGGTTTAGGGTTTAGGGTGGAGGGTTTAGGGTTTAGGGTTTAGGGTTTAGGGTTTAGGGTTTAGGGTTTAGGGTTTAGGGTTTAGGGTTTAGGGTTTAGGGTTTAGGGTTCAGCGTTCAGGGGGCTACGCCAGGTACCAAGCCCTCATCTCGTGGCCGCCACAGCGCAGTGCTGGCGTCGAACGGGAAGATGTGGATCCATGGAGGGGAGGACAACAGCAACAGCCGGGGGACCCAAGAGGGTTTAGGGTTTAGGGTTAGGGTTTAGGGTTTGGGGTTTAGGGTTTAGGGTTTAGGGTTTAGGGTTTAGGGTTTAGGGTTTAGGGTTTAGGGTTTAGGGTTTAGGGTTTAGGGTTTAGGGTTTAGGGTTTAGGGTTTAGGGTTAGGGTTTAGGGTTTAGGGTTTAGGGTTCAGGGTTCAGGGTTCAGGGTTCAGGGTTCAGGGTTCAGGGTTTAGGGTTCACCCAAAAATCTGGGTTGAGGGTTTCGAGTTGAGGGTTGAGGATCTAGGGGTGTGCAACCTTAAGCGTCCAAGGAACGAACCCCTAGACCCTAAACCCTAAACCCTAAACCCTAACCCCTAAACCCTAAACCCTAAACCCTAAACCCTAAACCCTAAACCGCCTAGAGGTTTAGGGTGTGCTCGGCAAGGTCCAAGCCAGGGCCACTTAAATTCCCACTGCCTCTAAAGTGGATTCCCAAAGTTGGAACATCATCATCCTCAGTCCCCAAAAGGTATACCAAGGGAATCCCAGCTCTAATCATCCTTAAACCATGTTCCAACTGTCCGGAGTTTACTCCTAAACCTTAAACCCTAAACCCTAAACCCTAATCCCTAAACCCTAAACCCTAAACCCTAACTGCGTCTAGGGCCAGAGCACTCTAGGGCTTCCCGTGCCTTAACTTAGTAGCTGAGTGAGTACACTTTTACACTTTCTGGGAGACTAGAATCTGAGTTCATAAAGCCCCACTTAAAGTGTAGACTTTCAGCTCTATAGGGGATTCGAATCATCCCCTATAGAACGGAAAGTGTACATCCCCTATAGCCCTAAACCCTAAACCCACCCTAAACCCTAAACCCTAAACCCTAAACCCTAAACCCTAAACCCCAAACCCTAAACCCTAACCTCCACAACGCACTGGACACCAGCCCTGCAAAGGCTCTGGGCCTTTTCAGGGGCTTCTTGGGTACAGGGTTTAGACCCTAAACCGAAACCCTAAACCCTACACCCTAAACCCTAAACCCTAAACCCTAAACCCTAAACCCCCTTTCAGGGCCATTCCTGAGCGTTTGGGGACGTCTGGGCATGAAGCAGCTCCCTACTCGCTACTAACAGACATCAAAAGTGACAACGCAGCAGAGCCTGCCGTGGTCTCGCTGAGCGTTTGACTGCGCCCGCCTACCCAACAGAGGTGAGACGGGTCGCGGGCGGGTTTAGGGTTTCGGGTTTAGGGCGTAATTAGGGGTTAGGGTTTAGGGTTGGCGCAGAAGCTGTGAAGGTTGGAATGCAGACTCGCTTCGAAAAGCTTCGAGAAATGCGAAGAGCAGCCATGGCCCGATAGTGGAGGGCCATCTAACACTTGTGTCCCTCCCTATGCCGTCTCAGGCGGCAAAACCACCCAAATCTAGATAGGCCTAAGCTCAAGGCAACAGCCCACTTCCAAAAACTCTTCCGTTTCGGGATGTCTGGTGTCGTCCCGGTCCCAGACCTTCAAGACGCCCGTCTTGGCCTCCTGAAAGTTGCTAAACCCCCCACATGTGGGTTTGAAAGGGCATACTTCGAGACTAAGCCGCGAGGGCTTAGGGTTGAGGATTTAGGGTTTGGGGTTTAGGGTTTAGGGTTTAGGGTTGAGGATTTGGGCACTTCGAACAGCCACTTCCGAGGCGTGCTGAGCGACCTTTGGTACCTGCAGACTGAGGCCTTCGGATCTGAGGGTTCGGGTTTAGGGTTTAGGGTTTAGGGCTTAGGGCTTAGGGCTTATAAGGGCTTAGGGCTTAGGGCTTCGGGCTTCGGGCTTCGGGTTTGGGGCGTAGGCCTTTTGTGGTAAACCTTAAACCCGAAAAGCTGCGAGGTGTGTCCATTGTAGGTAAACAAAACCCTACACTCCCGAGCTGACAAGCCCGAAGCCCTCCACTCCTAAAACCCCCCTTAAACCTCGATTGCTGGTGTAGGGACGTGCCTTGACCCCTCCGCCCACCCCACCCCGCCCCCACCACCCCCCACCCGCCCAACTCCCCCCCACCCCCCTCCTCTCTCCCCGAAAAGAAAGCAAGCCCTAAATTTTCAAAAGCTTCTGGTTTTCGAGAACTCAACAGGACCCCACTCTGCATCCAAAAACAGTCACAGAGCCCTGCATTGCCTGGCAAACTTGTTTTTTTTACAAGCGGGGGGGGGGGGGGGGGGGGGGGGGGCAGCCACTAAAGCAAGTACTGCATTCGAGTTTCGGGTTTGAGGTTCCTTGACGCCGGACCGCTTTTGAGTCTGCTGGCTTTAGGGCTTGGGGTTTGGGCTTTGAGGGGGATTAGGGTTTGGGGAGGGGGTACTGGGCTCCTTGGGGAGCGGGAGAAAGAGAGTTAGTTTAGTGCTATGAAGAAGAACAAAAGATGGAAGGGAGACGAGGGCGCCCCAAGCAGCCTCATTCGGGCACCTTACCCTTGAGATGAAAAAGGACGCCTTTTTCTATTCTTACACCCTAAGCCCTAAACCCCTAAACCCTCAAACCTCAACCCTAAACCCGAGACCCTAGACCCTAAACCCTAAACCCTAGACCCTAGACCTTAGACCCTAGACCCTAGACCCGAGACCCTAGACCCTAGACCCTAGACCCTATTCGGGTGTAGGTCTCTGGCCCCGGAACAGCCTCCTGAGCCTATCACCTTGGCCAAATTCCCCAGCAAAGTGCAGGTTTAGGGTTTAGGGTTTAGGGTTTAGGGTTTAGGGTTTAGGGTTTAGGGTTTAGGGTTTAGGGTTTAGGGTTTTGGGCCGTTTAGGGTTTCGGGTCGAGGGCCTCACTGCTCCCAACGCCCTTAAGCCCTTTGCCAGGACACATCGCCAACTTGGACGGAAGTCTCTGCCTCCAACGCGTTGAACCGCAAGGACCATAGCTGCGTGCTGACGACGTCTGGTCGAATGACCCTCGGCTCTAAACCCTAAACCCTAAAGCCCCATAGACCCTAAAGCCTGAACCCTAAAGCCCATAAACCCTAAAGCCCGTAAACCCTACACCCTAAACCCTACACCCCAAAATCGCAAACCCTAAGCCCTACAGCCCATAGACCCGACGCCCTAAACCCCGAACCTGTGTGCAGGGATCGGGTCCCTGATCCCCAGAACAGTCAAAACCTCCCCCAAAGAAGAGCTCCTGGGAGAATATGGGATTTCTGAAAATACGGACTCTTTTCGGGGTGCCCAAAGTCCCTATATAGGAGGTACTCTAAGTCTTCCCTATGTTGTTACTTGGACCCTTAGGGGCGGCTTGTTTTTTTTTTTTTTTTTTTTTTTTGGGGGGGGGGGGGGGTCGCTTAAACAGGGGCCCTAGGCTTGGGAAGCAGCCATCCGGGAGTGAGAACTCCAAGCGCTAAGGGCTAACCTCCAGCTTGAAAGCTTGAAGCATCAAAGCTTTGACAGCTTTTCAAGGGATTGAGGCTTTGGGGGGGGGGGGGGGGGGGTGGTTACAGGGTTGTTTAGGGTTTAGGGTTTAGGGTTTAGGTTTTAGGGTTTAGGGTTGAAGCCCCTAAACCCCCAAACTATGGGATGCTTAGGGCTGTTTTGGGTTCAGCGCTGCTTGAAGCCTCGGAGAGTCTCCCATGTTCAATCTTTGTGTTCAGGTGCGCCCTAAACACCAAACCCTGTGCCCCAAACTATGTTTTCCCTGTGGGATTGTTTGTTACATTCTATTTATATAAACCCAAAAGAACACTAAGCATATTCATGCCTAAGGGAAGTATAGTAAGCCCCAAAACCCTAAAGCCCTAAACCCTACGCTCAAACCCTAAACCCTAAAATCTAAACCCGAAACCCTAAACCCTAACCCCCTGAACCCTGAACCCAGAAAGAAGGGAGCCGCTAGACTCAAGGTACATCACTGCCGGCGACGATGGCTCAAGCCTGGAAACTCAGATTTCCGTAAAAACGAGTGGTCGGGTTTAGGCCTTGCAGGTTTAGGCATTAAAGCCTTTTTGGGCTTACAAGATTGAAGGGTACCATGCTCAAGCCATAGGAGCCCTGTAAACCGTCAACCGCAAGAGGGGCTACGGGCCAATGTCGAACATGCCTGCGATTGCGCCCGTTAAAGGATTTCCTCTGATATCTGCAGACTCTTAGAAATATTTCTCGGTTGTAATTCTGAGACAAATCCTCCATCCTCAGGGGTATGTTCCCTAAACCCTAAACCCTAAACCCTAAACCCTAAACCCTAAACCCAAGGGTCCAAAACCAAGCGTCCAGAAGTACCAGAACTGCATCCCGAAGAACTAAGCCCCCAACTGAATGAGCCTGGGGCCATAAGATACCCCCTAAACCCTGAACCCTAAACCCCAGAAAATAGGAGACATCCCGCCCATCTTACGCCCTGAGCTCTAAGACCCAAACACCAAGCCGTAAAGCCAAAGCTTTAAGCCCTCAAGCCTCCACGAAATATCTTTGGAGTTCGTTCCTCCCCCTAAAACCCTGAGCCCTAAACCCTCCCCAAGAACCCTACACCCCTGATTTCTGTAGAGCCTCCCCAAACCCAGACCCTAACCCCCCCCCCCCCCCCCCAAAAAAAAAAGCCCTCCTCGACCCTAAGCCCTAGTTTTTGGGGGTTTCCGAAATTAGGAGGTGCCTTTCTTAAAATTGAGGTCTCACGACAAGCGAATCCTACTATTTGGGGGGACTCTATTCGGGATTCCATGATTATCGTAAACCCTCATGCTCAAAGGATCAGGGGACTTACTATTTGGGGTTATGAGCAAGATAACGATACTTATGAATGCTTCTGACCCCAATCAACGTACTTCTATCCCTACTTACTAAGTGTCCCGATCCTCCAAGTCTGGCTGGTTCTAGGGAATGAGGGAATGAGGTACCCCTATAGAATCCCTCAAAGGGTATATATGGTTCCCCTAAACCCTAAACCCTAAATCCGATTAAAACCCTAAACCCTAAACCGAAATCCTAAAACCCTGAAACCCTAAAAGCCCCAAAACATAGGGGAAGTGTGGTTTTTGGGGCGCGGGTGCTCCCATCTCCGCAAGGCAAGGTCAACAGCCTGCGCTACGTGACCCTTGAGGCCATATACGCGGATTCCTGTTTCGGGCTTTGGGGTTTAGGGTCCTAACCCTAAACCCGAAAACCCTCAACCCTCAACCCTCAACCCTCAACCCTCAACCCTCAACCCTCAACCCTCAACCCTCAACCCTCAACCCTCAACCCTCAACCCTCAACCCTCAACCCTCAACCCTCAACCCTCAACCCTCAACCCTCAACCCTCAACCCTCAACCCTGAACCTTAAACCCTAAGCCCTAAGCCCTAAACCCTAAACGCAAGCCTTGAAGGTTTAAGACTTATGCCCGCAACTCCCTGCGTTTTACCACCACCTTGGCCTTGTTGAAAGCCTTGTTGGGTCTACTTTATTTAGGGTTTAGGGTTTAGGGTTTAGGGTTTGTTATTCAGGCATTCAGCAGATAAGAGATATGCTTAAAGGGTTTAAGGTTCAGGGTTAGGGTTCAGGTTTAGGGGGGTGGGTGGGTGGGGGGGGGGGTCTAACCACCCCTAAACTCATATTTTGGACCATTTGTCAGAGGGGCTTTGAAAGCAATGAAAAGTTCAAGGTTGTTTGAACGTTGCAAGTGCAGGCAAGAGCACCAACACGCTTAAACCCTAAGCCCGACACTTTGCATCCCAAACGTTGCAGGACTTATGAGGCCCCCAGCAGAGTGGGAAAAGATTGTAGGGTTTAAGGTTTAGTGTTTCTAGCGTCCTACCGACAAAGGACAGTCCAGTTTTTTGGGCCAGGGTACTCTAAAATCCAGGAATGAGTAGGAGCTGACAGGTGCAATCCTGAAACCCTGTAGCCCCCAGACCC